GGAAAGATCCGGGATCCGCTGAGAGATATGCAACAGAAATTGAGATGCGTCCTCCTGCCTGGGTCGTAATCGCCATCCTGCTAGCAGCGGACGAAGATGTCGCAACCTCCGAACATCCGCATGAGAGGATCTGCCATTCAGGGAACCTATTTCCGTTAGGATGGAATTTAAGGAAGGATCTGGGAACAGTCCGTCTGACAAGAGAGAGAGAAGGATATGAACGACCGTGTGTGCATAGCACAGTTGATGCGGATTATGATAAGCTAGACGCCAGGCAGCGTCTTGCATGGAAGCTGTGGGAGATGCAGTGGTTGAACGACCCGAGACGCGTGCAGTGTATGTCAGCGAAATAGCTCGGCTGCTGGAGGAAGCCTCCTGGGAGGAAGCCTCCCTGCCTCTCACCTGGCCAATTGGAGGATCCGCACTAAAGAGATCTGGCAGTTCCATAGGATTGGCACAAGCTGCACTCATGGCGTATGTCTGAAGCAGAACCACACATTGCTCTGCATGGCGAACTGGAGCATCTACCACAATGCGACAGTACCTACATTCTTCTTTTTTGTGCAGGAGGCGCTTATGCGTTCGCATGTTGGCAAGAATGGATGCCGAAGATTGTGCCCAGAAAGCAGGATGGGCTTTCTGAATGTGCTGTTTCACTCCTTTGTGGCCAACAATGTATTGCCCACAGAGACTGCAGTTCGTTAATAGATGCTGAGTGACATGTCTCTTTTTTAGTAGAAGATCAGGATCCTTCTTAAGTTGTTCCTGCACGCTAGACTGATAGATCATGGCTATGCTTTCTGAGCTAGTACAGGATTTGGCTCGTTCTTTCAGCTCGTGCAGCTGAGGGCAAATGCCTGACTCCACATGTCTGCGAAGTTGATGCATTGTGCGCAACTGCCTGTTGCATGCCGCACATTGCGGAAGTCCTTTGCAGCTATGCACAGTGACCTGAAATTTTGGGCCTAGCTGATTCGCACGCTGTCCTCCATGCTTCACCAGAGTATGTTGCTGAAGACCCTTAGCGCTGGAGAATTGCCGATCGCACAGAGAGCACGATACCGCCTGATCTGCCTCAGTCAAGTCTAAATGCATGCTTTGAAGCTCCAGTTGCAGCGCAACAATCCTACCTCTAAGTCCCAGATGCCACTGTCTGTTCTGATCCGGGTTGGACTTCTGAAAGGCATCTAGTGCGTCTTGATAGTTTTTCATCTGGCTGATCAAAACTGCTTGAGGAGATTGAACCTTGTATTGCTCGAACAGAGTCTTCGTGTCAATATGGCTGTAGTGCTGATGTTGCTTAAAGATGGATCTTAGCATCCTAGAGTATTTACTCTGAAGCTTCTGAAGACCTGATGAGGTGACGCCAGTGGCCACAAGCCCATGCAAGAGTGAGGATTCCACATAGACCCTCCAGATCTCCAACTTCTTTGAAGCCTCCAAGGCCTTAGTGGAGCAAAGGATGTGTCGAAGTAGCTCAAACTTGCCTTGAGCTTGGGCGATCCTATAGTCAACAGTCTGGTCTTTGTAGGATCCATAGCTGAGCTGCACCCCTAGATATGTCAGTTTGTGATGAATCGGAATCTTATGTCCTGAGGGAAGGACGATGTGCAACTGCTTCTCTTTGCGCATCGTGTGCTTTTTGCGAAAGATGGACTGCTGAGTGCCCTGAACCATTAGCAAGGCTTTGGACTTCGCTGGATTGACTTCCAGCCCCACGTCCTCAAGAGACTGAAAGAGAGCCTCTATTCTGTGCAGGACTTTCTGAAGCTCAGGAAAGCTCGAGAAGGTTTCCTGGAGCAGGAAATCGTCTGCAAAGACCGTTAGGATTTCCCTAGCTTGCTTGCTATCTGGGCCCCATTTCTGCTCCATTCTGCTCATAACTAGAAGTGTCAGCGCAGACCACAATGCCGGGGCTAGCTTACAACCTTGTTTGATTCCTGAAGAAGTGGGAACTTGAATCTCTAGTCCACCTGTGCCCATGTTGTAGGAGGTCTCACTGTGTAGTTGAACTACCAGTTCTTTCGTAACAGGGTCTGTTCCCAGGCGATCCAAGGCAGCTAGCAGCTCATGTCTATTAACAGAATCAAAAGCTTTGCTCAGATCAACCGAAATAGTGAGTGCCCCTGACAGCTGAGCCTGCCTAGCTCCACGTTGGGACTTGTGCAGGTCCCTGCGATGCTCTTGCCGGAGCTGCTGCGCGAAATCAAGGTGCTGACATGCTTTCGCGATAGCGTCCCGCACCCCCCTCTGCCGAATGTACGCAAATTGAGGCTGAAGCTGTGAGCTCACCTGCAATGCTGGTGCAATGCGAGTCTTCACTGCGCCTGCTAGCACTTTGCCTGGCACGCTGATGACTCCTATGGGCCTCAAGTTTTTCATGGCAGTGGCTGGCTTGCCCGGCTTGGGGATCCATGCAATTCGAGGATCCTTTAGATAAGGGGAAATTTCTGATTGGGACACCTCAGAGTTGATTAGACCTGCTATTTGTTCGTGGGCGTCAGGACCTAGACTCTTCCAAGCTGATACTGGGGCTGAGGTGCTAGGGACTGCTTTCCCCACTGGCACTGTCTTGATTTGCGAGGATACCTGCAAGGCGGTGATTGCTTTTCTGGGCACAGCGGCAACTGAGTGCAAAGGAGGACTTTTGGAGAAGATTTTACTCGAGTATTCGCGCATAGTTTTTAGCGAGGCTTCCGTATCAAGCGGCTCACCTGCTTGATCCCTTAGGTTGACTCTCTGCACTGGGCGCCACGGAGCAAGTTTCCTGAGAGCATGAGCTAGTTTGTGGGATTGTTGCCGTTTATCTTCCTGGGCTTGTAGAAGCAACTGCTCTTGCTTCTCTAGCTTTCTTTGTTTTTGCTGTTTTTTGAAAGCCCGCGCCTCCTCTTTGATGTCCTCCACAAGCTTCTGGCAGTCTGGATTATGCTCGGTTCCAGCCCGCTTGTGCGCCTGGATTTGCCGCACTTTCTTCCAATATTCCTGATGAATGGGACCTGCTGCTGGCTGAGACTTGCGTGGAGGAGGATAGTGCTCAGCTGATACACGAACCATCACTTCATCCAGTTCTTGCCAAGACGGTCTCTCTTGCATTGTCCTCACCACTGATTCAGTCAGACGATGTGAGTATGCAAGCCAGTTGTCATCTTTCCGCCGAAAGCTCGCATCCAGGGCTGTGGCATCAAACGGCCGTGGCTTGCTGGGTATAGGACTGTAAGGAGGAATGAACAGAGTAGCCCGCACTGGAAGATGTTTTGGTCCATCTCTGTAGGCAGCCACAGGAAAGTTCTTATCAGAGTAGGCCTCCTTGGATCTCCTCCGAGCATCGTGCAGTCTGACCAGCATAAAATCGATCTGAGAGGAATATGTGCCATCACTGTTAGTATACGTGCTGCGATGGCCAGAAGCCCATGTGTTCAGCGCAGTGAGTCCACAGGATTTGCAGAGCGAGGGCAGTGTCTTCACATCCGCATTTGCAAACCGTACTCGATGAGGCACACTTGGTCCAATATGAGGACGTTCAGTCACCGCATGCGCATTGAAATCCCCAGCCACAATCAAGAAATCACGTTGCGGGACTCTCTGTATACGATTTTCGAGCTGTGTCATCACGTCCTTTCTCCTGCCTCTGTTTTCCGTCTTCGAAAGCTTTGAATCCCAGACGTGCTGGTACAGGTTCAGGAGATGTATTCTGGATCTCTGCCACGGGATCATGACGTGCTGCAAATGCCCTGGAACAATGGAAGTGCTGCGAATTTCTGAAAGAGGAGCCAATGAGCTATGCACCAAGACAACCAGGCCAGCCTTGTGTCTGCTTGTTGAGCCACAGGTTAAGACTGACCACGGGCCTGAGCTGTAGACCTGGTCCTGCTGCCAATGCGATTCCTGCAGGAAAACGATTTTGATGTTCTTGTACTCTGTTGTTGCCAAAAGGGCCAGAATCTCGTTCCAAACTCGGCTTGTAATTGAGCCTGCGTTCCAAGTAAGGACTTCCATGTCAAATTTGTGATGGATCTGTCTGCTCGGTTGAAAAGAACGCCTCTCCGCTTTCGCAGGAGACGCGAATTGTCCTTCGTGAGCTCCTAGAGCCTGAGCTGTCAGAAGACGGCCTTTATAAAGTGCTGCTCCCTTCGCCAGGGCAACTTTACAAGCTCTTTGGTAGCTTCGCTTGCCGGTTTTGTTCATGGTTAGCTGACTTCGCTGCGCATGCTGCTCAGCTTCATCGGGGGGCGCTACTTCCCGAAACCCTCGATTCTGATCCATGGCTGGACCCTGGGACTTGGGACCCAGGCACCCAAGAAAGCTCGCTACGGCTACGAGAAATAAAATCCTCATCTTGGGCCAGAATCTTACAACAACAACAACAACAACAACAACAACAACAACAACAACAACAACAACAACAACAACAACAACAACAAGAACAAAGAACACAAGAACAACAACAACAACAACAACAACAACAACAACAACAACAACAACAACAACAACAACAACAACAACAAGAAGAAGAACAACAACAACAACAACAACAACAACAACAACAACAACAACAACAACAACAACAACAACAACAACAACAACAACAACAACAACCACACCAACAACAACAACAACAACAACAACAACAACAACAACAACAACAACAACAACAACAACAACAACAACAACAACAACAACAACAACAACAACAACAACAACAACAACAACAACAACAACAACAACAACAACAACAACAACAACAACAACAACAACAACAACAACAACAACAACAACAACAACAACAACAACAACAACAACAACAACAACAACAACAACAACAACAACAACAACAACAACAACAACAACAACAACAACAACTTTAAGGAACTTGTCAATATCATGGCTGGTCATGGGCCACTTCGAAGAGTTCCTGCTTGTCTTTTGGTTTTGCTTGCATGGCATATGTTACAGCACTGCACCACGGAGCGGGTCACAGAGGAGCCGGTTGAGGGTGGGACTTTTGCCTTTGTAGGCCCCTTTGCCGCCTCTCCTGGTGTCAGTCTAGGTCGTCCGTCTTGTTTGCAGAGGAGTTTTTGAGTGAATCGGCGGTATGGGAAAGACAGCCTGGCTGCATAGGCAACGAAGCCAAACCTCAGCACAGGCGAGACAGAGCGAGAGTGAGAGCGAAGGGAGGGAGAGAGAGCGAGAGAGATAGCAAAAAAGCAAAGGATACAGAGAGAGAGAGAGGGCGAGCAAACATGTCCCTCCGAACAGCCCGCATCGACTAGGCTGCAAGCACCTTCGCTATGTCTTCTATCACATCTTTTGCCTCACTAGTGGCCTGCCACCAGGCATGTGGCACATGTACACTCTTGACATTCGACCGACCTTGTCCGACAGTTCCAATCGGAGGTCGGTGCAGCAGTACTTCTTCGCCATGAGCCGGCAGGCCTTCAACAGCTTTTGCATCTTCATTGGCTGAGCACAGGCACCGGCAGTCATCACCTGCAGGTCTGCAAGCAGCTCGCCCAAAAGCTGGGTTCGGAAGACCGTCTCTGCCTCAGAGCTGCAGCAAAAACAAGGGGCAGACGACCAACATATGCGACCTTATCCCTTGCACAGAAAGCTCACACCCTGAGACGACCTGAGGCACTCACTAAGTTTTCGGTGGTCAAGTCACCCTGTCCGATCCGAGCTGAAAGAAACATACAGATAAGTGACGATGCCGGCCTCCAAATATAGCCCTCGCGCCCTTGCCAGTGCCGCGACACCTGGTGACAGCCCCACTTGCCTGAAGCAGACCAAGACTAGGCTACACCTGAGGCAAGGGCTTGCCACGTCGGTGACTTCTGGGAGGCTTTCGCCAGTGAGCGTCGCAATCTCCGTTCGGAGCGCATCTGAAAATCCACAAGGGGAATGCACAAAGGGCCTCTAGTGCTGCAGTAGCCAAAACAGTCCCACCCGGGGCAGCACATGAACAGAATAGGATCCCTAAAGAACCTCTTTCTCTGCTTTCATCTTTTTGCGACTCAAAGCTCCAAAGACAGGAGCCGGCAGTGCTGCTGCGCGCCGTAGACATCACGATCACCGGCGCTGCCGGCCAGCACCTGCAACCAGAAGGAACAAGAAGGAACAAAAAGGCAAATGGGAGGCACTCAGAGAGTTCAAGACAAAATCAACCTGTCGGCCTGTCGGGCGCAAGTGATCTTGATGGCCCAGCATGAGTCCTGGGGAGACAAACCCAACGCCAGCCACTGCATTAAGTACGTTCTTGCGACGTGCACAACGTGCACTACGAGAGGTTCTGGGATCTTGGCATCGCAAAAGACGCCCAGAACATTCCGCAACGGAACCACTGAAGCATCCAGTGAAGGACTGCTTTTGGCCATCATGTAAGACTTCCTTGGGTGCAATTCTCGGCCAAAAAAATCACCGGGCAAGTGTCACATTTCAACATGCCGCACATGATGCAGGTAGCGCTGCGGGCAGGTCTCTCATCAGCAAACATGATGTCGTAGGTAATTTCCTCGCGACAAGAAGGTGCTATGATTTCTCTGTCCACTCTAAGAATAACGCCCTGGTGCGCACGTCCGCTGTCACTTTGGGCACTGAAGTCAACGTCTGCAGGCGTGCCGTTTTAGAAAAGTAATGTCTGTGGAAGGTCCAACAGCCAAGTGACATTCACACCAGCATTCTTGGAGCGTACCACCTTCGCCAGGTCTCCGAGTTTGTGACTGCTAGCCGCACCTCCGGTTGTGGAAAGATGTGGGTGGTGAGCTAATGATTACACTCTCTAAGCGATGCACGCCACCCCGCAGGCTTCACGGACGACTCCCAGTCACTGTAGGCCTGCCACTCTAGCAGCAAAGGGCTAGCAAGGGGAAGTACGTGGACTCAGCGCAAGATCTCAAGAGCAGGAAGAGTGCATAAGAGTGCTCAGTGCGCCCAAGTCCAAACAAGCCTCTTCCGACGAAACAATGGGAGCGTCATCCCAAGGTAGGAGTGTGGCCTCCACGTCCTGTCGAGCACGGCTTTGGAACATATTCTGTAACATATTTGTTCACGGCTCATGGCACCACAAATCCTGCACTGAGCCATCGCTGTGCCGTACTTGGATTGGGAAGAAGTCGCGCCTTGGCGCGCATGGCATCATGGCATTGCCGCTTCTATGTTATTCGAATGTGCTGCAGAGTGGCAACAGCACGTCATCCAACTCGAGGAGATGGTGAATTGTGTAATCCTCAGAGCGGCTAACAAGTGAAGTCTTGCACACCCAAAAAAGCCGAAGCATGACAAACCCAAAGCTTGGCACCGTGCTGCTGCGACGCTTCCGTGGCACTGCCAGGTCTGAATCGCCCGTGCGTCCACTTGCAGCCCGGCACTCGCCGCTTCTGCGGTGCTTGCGACCACCTCGCGGCACTTCAGGAAGCCCAGGCCATCCAAACCTGCAGCGACGAAGCGAACGGTCAGGTCCTCATGGGAGGAGAGGCTCCTGACATACTCCTCCACTTCTTTCAGAATCTGCGGCCACCGTGATATAAAGCTCGGGTCTCTAGTGCCGCAGAGAGTTAGAACTCCCTCGTCGCCAAACTGAAGGTCGGAAGGCGAGAATGGAAATGCAAGGTTCCCAGCTGTAGCTTTCCGGCCATCAAAGCCCCAGTGCAGCAACGTGGCACGAAGGAGAGCTAAATGGGATCTATTCCGCTCTAAACCGCCTCCAGTGACTGTGATCACAATGCCGAGCTCCTGCTCGCCAGAGTTCAGCACTGAATCCTCCACACCGTTGCGGCCGAACACTATCACCCCGTTGCCTGCTTCCACGTCAGGAAGGTCGGGCGTGTCAGGAAGGAGGTCAATGGCCACTGCCCGAAAGCCACGCACCTTGGCACCTTCAGCGAAAGTAGGCAGGGACGCTACAGAAGCTTCATGCACTTACACTATCTCACCGAATACATTTCACATGCAAACAGTCGCAACAGTCACAAAACCTGAGGACCCAAACTCGCAAAGAGCTTCATATCGGGCCTTCAAGCTTGACCGTGGGCGGAATCCTTGTCAGTCTCGTGCCCTTGACTTCCACAACTCGACCATGCTGTTTGAATACTGCTTGCTTGGTGTTCAGCACGCCGCCCGGTAGACCAAAGACGTGAGGGTGGCTCTTTTCGTAGAGTGTGTGCGCAGCCACGCTCAGGGTCGTGGCTTGCCTCTGAGGGTTCGGTGCCCAGAACCGGGCAGCGCCTTGTTTGTCCAATTCCGCAATGAGACAGTCGCTCCCGCTTCCAGGCACCTGCAACTGTTGAAATTACTGAAGTCACTGAAATTCACTGAAATTCACTGAAAGTGGCACTGAAACAACAAGCGCTAAGGCGACACTCCTCTGCTCCGCTCACACAAGTTGCTGGCCAGGTTCTGTCGCAATTGCGCCACACTCCAGGACTTTGGCTGCGTGCAGCGCAGCTGATGCTGGAAACCCACACCGCACGGGTTCAGCAGCGAATACAGCAGGGTCATAAGCTCGTCCACATAGCCTTGGCTAGCAACCTGGCATCGTGCAGCTCTGACTTACGCTGTCTTGTTTAACCAGGTTGCACTATGTCGGCGTGCCCCAATGCCGACATGATGGGTTCCAGGCCCATCTGAGGCAGGAGATCAGGTGCTAGTTCTATGCAGTGGCACGTACGCGCGTGCGCTCCGCTCACAACGAGTTTTTGTTTGGAGTCTGTCCACCCGAGATGGCGCTTGTGAGGCTCGGGGATGCTGCTGAGGCCCTTTGTGCCTGAATAACAAGACATGAAACAACTAACAACAACAAAGAATTTTGAGAGATTCATCACCCTCCCCTTTTTCAAGAACCCCTTTTCCGCCTCCCATCTCTTCTCCCTCTTTTTTCAATGTGTGCAGGCACACTCAATGCGGTGCTTCCCCCAGCCTGGGCCACAATCACTGAGCCTCCCAAACATCCCAGGGAACTTCGCAGTGTACCACATGTGTACAACTTCTGACTCTGACTCGCATACAGATGGGCAGAGTTAGATAAGCTAGATATGCTTCGTCCACTTCCGCACTGAGGCCTCTCAAATCTTCGGTGCTGATGGGGTTCATCGGGCCGAGGGATGTCATTGTCCGCCCCGCCAATTTCGAAGGGCAAATCTCGCTTCGAACCTCAATTGGGACTCGGTCGGCGCAATTTTCCTCCACCACTGCACAACATAACACAACACATCACTTGGCGCAAAAAGTCGCCCCCCAAATTTCAACAATTGGGGCACCTGCCGTCGCTATGGGTTGCACCATGCCCAACCTCGAGCGCACCACGCTACAGCCCAATGTCACATGGAGCAAGAACCCTCAGTGCAACACAAGGCATTTGGAGTTTGGAGTATCGGATGCTACCGTGTTTATCGACATTTTGCACGGAGAACGTGTCCATGTTCAACCTGCCAACCTACTGTCATGCTAGGAGGTGCTGGGCTCGGGGAAAAGAGGCCCCTGCTCGGACATGATCGCTCGAACTTCACGGGCAAGCAGCTCAACCTTGGACAAGAGAATCGCATCTAAACTTTACACCTTTCTCATTCAAAGACGTTGATTCCGTTGCCTGGTTGTCGGTGCCACATCCGCCAGCTGAGCCCACAATCAATTTGCAAGGCTGGCCCATAGCTGCCTAGCAACGTGCTCATCCAGTCTATCCCCAACAGCCCGGGCAAGATGCTCCGACGGTTTCCCACGCCTGCTGAATCACACCCTTCAGCATCAGGCGAAGGTCTCCTTATTCACACAGCTTCGCCCACGCCTGCCCACAAGTCTCTAGATACTGCAGCGCAGCACTTATTCGAGCAGGTGTCGCAGAACATGGTTCAGCGCCGTAAACGATGTGCGGGTGGCCAAGTAGTAAGGTCCTGGATCCTCGGTTCTTGCAGGCCACAAGTTCTCAAAAAGGAGGGAATTAGCAGCAGAGCGGGTTTGAGACATGATGGATGACTGCTTCATTCCGGGCCACAATGGAGCCAGCATCCACTGCTATGAGGTTGAATGCATGGTCACCTTGTAGCACTCGCATTTTCACTCCAGATGCACTTCTCTGCTCAGAAGTCCAAAGTCATCAGAAGCTTGAGACTTACGGCTTGCAAGAGGAAATATGACGGGAAGGTCGATGTACGTTGGTCATGTAAGGCAATCCGCCGAGGCCTCGGGCCGAAGGTGTAGTGAGAACAGGCACCCCATTCCACACGCCCCCTCCCCCCCCCCCTCCCCCCTCCCCCCCCCCTGCCCCCCCTGCCCCCCCCTCCCCCCCCCCCTCCCCCCCCCCCCCGCCTCCCTTTGCTTGGGGCTGCGGCTCAACTTTACGAATCCCTAAACCCCAAACCGTGAACCTTGAGCCCTAAACCCTCAACCCTAAACTAGCCCTCAACCCTAAACCCTAAACCAGAAACCCGGAACCCTAAACCCTAAACCCAACCCTTATGGGGTCCAGCGACTTGGGCGCTAGGGAATCACCATGCTCACGCGGATATGCGCTGGGGCGGGCCGAGGCGGGTCGTGCAGCGTTAAGATTATGTAATTGCGTTATTCTGGTTTGAACCCTGGATTGCTCTTGATCCTGGTTTGTCGAAAACCTTGTTTTTGTCAAAGATGCGTTGCTGAGCGTTTTTGAGGTTTATGAGCCCGCATAAACCCAAGAGAAGGTGCATCAACTTACTCTGTTGGTTGACGTGTAACAGGTTGTGGCAAAGCAGTAACACACCAAAAGCAGAAACGAAGGACACTGCAAACCATGCGGATGAGAATATGTCTGTGGATGTAGAGTTGAACTCTACATCTACATACAACAAAAAGATCATCCCTACACTAGACTCGAGACCATACACCCTGAACTCTGGCCCCCACTCCACGCAAGAAGTAACTTGAAGCCGTTCTGCAAGTGGGTTCTTCTACTTTTTTTGTCTTTCGCTCAGTTTCACTCTCAGTTCTTGGTCACACTTCAGAAGACAGGGAACGAGAAGGTTCCAATCGCATATATGGGTGGGGAGGGAACGGGGGGCTGCCTCCTGCCCCAACGCGCAAATTAAGCTTAAGCAGAGAGGAGGACTTCCAAACGCATTGCGTTTGCAAATGGGATGGGATGGGAGGACACCTTGCAGCGCCCCCAATTCTTTTCCCAATTCTTCTTAATCGTCGGCCTAAGCCCTCCGTTTCGGTGCTCCAAGAAGCCCCCCTAGATTCGCCTCCTGCTTCTCGGTCTCCAAATTTTTTGGGCACCCCACAAAAGCCTCCCTAAGGCCCTTCTAACCTGCCCCTAAATTCCTTACCCTTTAGGGCCCTAAAGCCCTTAAGCCCTTGAGCCCTTGAAGGCCTTAAGCCCTCTTTGAAGACCCTCTTTGAGGACCCCAAGGTCAAGTATTAAGTCCCCCTTCACTCCTCTCAAGCCCTTCGCCTTCACCTTTAATTAACCCCCCTGAACTGAAACCAGTTTTGCCCCAAAAGTGTCCGAAGAGACACATCATGTGCTACAGGTCAAACACACAGGTCAAATCAGGTGAGTTTGGCCTCTCTGAATTTCACCCTACCTTTCAGAATGGAGTCAGCGCAACGTGTGGTCAACAAACCAAAACTCAAACCTGCGCAATGAGGAGATGTAGCAATAAGTCCTGAGCTCCTCACGGACTGCCGCATCGAATGATGCCTGTGCTGCAAGCGGTTGTGGCTGACGGCGGATCGGTGTTTTGCTGCCAGCCTAGCCGACTCGCGCCGAGCGGCTTCAGGAAATCCGTATCCCAGGATTGCCGTTGGTGCCAGGATTCGAAATTTGCTCGTGCTGTCCGTGTAGCCACGAATGCTAAGACGTGCGGCAAGCTTCCGGGCCTCGGGACGATCAAGGATCCAGGAACGAGAACAGCATCAAGGAGAAGAGCTTTCCTTCTTCAGTATGACCGGGCCGAAGCAAGCAGGGCTGTTCTCGTTCAACAACCCTGTGACTGTCAACTCATTCTTTCGACTCGTGGAGAAGCGCGTTCTCTCAGTTCCGGGGAGCATCTGAATTTCGCAGCCAAGCCACGTTTGGTCGATTGGCTCGGAAAAGTCCATACAGCATTGGCAAGGAACCCACAGGTCTGTGCATCGCTGTAAATCTTACCCTATAATTTGGGACGTCTTAGTGCTGGCCGCTGCCAAGCAAGCTCGTGCTGTGCTTGTGTTCACAGGTGTCCATCGCGGGGATATTTCGAATATTCCGAACTGCAGAACCAAAAACTTCAGATCAGGACCGTGACTCGAGACTCCCACCATCAGCAAGCTACTCCCGCCTGTGAGATCAAAGAAGGTAGTGTCGTTACCTTCAGAAAGACCAGAAAGATTCTCTCATGCACATCGACATGTTCGCTGGAATACATCCAGGCAGCCGACAAAGCATGATTGTCTCATGTGGCTGCCATGTCTCGACACTTCTGCCATTGACCTTGGCAGGAGCAGATCCCACAGCCTCCCGAAACTCTCGCTGGACTTGGCTTGGTCCCGTATGAAGAATCCGACCGTCTTAAAGCAGGCACTGAAGGCATCATAAAGTTCCTGACAGGGAAAACTTTGGGGGCAGCAAAGGATGGGGTAGAGATGGAGATTGCACACGAGTCCACGTCCCATCGCCTGCTGCGCGGCTTCGAGCTTCTTGTGCCCCTCGATGGCGAGCACCGCCATGCCTGCAGATTCAGTTATCATTCGCTCCAAAACTCCCATGGCCCAAGCCCAGGAGATGCCTGGAGGCCCTGCGCTTGGAGCGACAAGGGAGTGGGCCCCACTTTGAGCTGAAGCTGAGCAACCGTTGAAAGTGAGACTATACGCAATGCTCAGGTCCCAATTTCCCCGAGTCACATGAATACTCGACCCCGGACGGTGCCTGTCTACTGTGCTTTTGGCTCCGTCTAGTTAACGATGCCTCGTCCAGCAGCCACATTTCAGCTGCAGAAACAAATGCCCAGATGTTGCTGAGGCCGTGAGCCCAAGCATCCTATGTACAATCTGGGAATGCGGCGTGCTATGCACAAGCAGTCTCCTGCGAGAACGAGCCCGCTCGGCTCGTGTTTCGGCTAGTATTTTGGCTAGGTTGCCCGGACGCACTGGGAAACAAGCTGAAGCTGTTGAGCAAGCTTGCACGCGCGGCAGCTCCGCTTTTTCGGTCGGTCATGAACTTGACCTGCAAAAAAGCCAAGTTGCCGAGGGGCAGAGGAGGGATGAGGGAAGAGGGCGAGGCGGCGAGGCGGCGAGGGACGCGGACAACAAAGTAAGAATGATGGACATGATGACTCGCCAAGCAGCAGGATCATGGCAAACACATGTGTTGTATTGTGCTGTTCCTTGTATTTCCTCTCATGTTTTCGCCAGGAAGTTCATGAAGCCTTGCTTTCACCAATGTCACACTAGTGCTGGCAGTGCCGCCTTGATCATGGCAGAGGACCGGCGCCTGTTCATTGCCCTGAGCGGACTGAAAACTCGGTTCTGAAGCGCTCCACAAAGAGAAGTATCTGAGGTATCTTCTCACAAGGCACCGTGCAATACTGTGCAGTAGGCCGCAAGCTCTCTGCCGACCTCGGACCGCCGCTTCTTGATGTCGGCAGCCTGAGATGAAGGAACTCTGCAGAACTCTGCAGTTGGCTCTGCAGTTGGCTCTGCAGTTGGCTCTGCAGTTGGCTCTGCAGTTGGCTCTGCAGCTCCGCAGTCGCTTGCACTCTGAGTCCCTCGCATCCAATTGAAGGCCCAAGCGCTTTGAGGCTTTCAACAGCGAAAGAACCCTCGCAGTCACGAAGGATCCACAATGTCAAAGAGGAACGGACTCACGAGGCCGCCACGACACTAGCTTTGATCCGTTCGGCAAACCCAGCCCTTCCAGGGAGCCTGACACTCGAGCTCCATAAGCAAGACTCAAAAAGCCATACGCGGCTCCCAACAAGACCAACCGCTCCCATCCGCTCCCACCTGCGTGGAGTTTGATGGCGGTCAAGGCCTGCCAGCTCTGCATTTGGCACCACTGGGCTCTCAAAGACTTGCTTCTTCTTGTGCTGCCCAGCACTTTCTGTTAGCGAGTTCTGAGCCTGGAGCCTACACTGCCTTGAGCCCCAGCATAACAACCTACAGAGTTTTCGGGCTGTAAGGTCGAAGGGTGAGGGGTGGCCCCGGGCATAACGACCTTAACCCTCTTGTTTAAGGTTTGTGTCGGTGTAGTTTAGGGCAGGCTTGTCTTTGGGCTGTGTGCGTGCAGTTTCACGGTAGGTTGTCTGTGAGGAAGACCCCAACAAGGACTTGGGACCCCATCATTTGCAAGCACCTTGCCAAGTGCTTGGTTGGGTTCAAGCTTGGGGCTTGGCTTTGTCATATAGCGGGGGGGAAGGGGGGTTGTGGCTGAGCTGATGCTTGATGCAAACGTGCCCGGCCAGCCCCCTCCCCCCCGCCCCCCGTGCTTTGCTCGGCTCACAAGTCTTGTTTGTAAAGCGAGGGGATGTGTTCATAAACAGACATATTTTGGCTGGGTCGGCTGTGAGTGCCGGCCAGAACAACATGGCTTGGCTCTGGCCCTGGCTTTGCCTTTGGCTTTGGCCTTGGCCTTCTCCTTCGGCTTCGGCTTGGGCTTTGCCTTTCTCCTTCGGCTTCGGCTTGGGCTTTGCCTTTGTCTTTGCCTCGGCCTTGGCCTTGGCCTTGGCCTTGGCCTTGGCCTTGGCCTTGGCCTTTGCCTTTACATTGCGGAGGAGTGGGGTGGGGGGTGGGCGAGGCGTTGCTTGCTCCCACGATCGAGCTGCGAAGAAGTGAACAGCACACAGCATGAACAAAGCTGTCTGACCACTCTAGGTCCCAACGGCCCCACTTCCGCGTCGAATTTCTTGCCGAAGTCTGCCCAAGTCGCTGAGTTTCAAAGCGCTCTCGCTCATCAGCCGCGGCCGCTGGAACGCACCCTATCGGACCCTTGTCGCGTTGATCGTTGTCTGGAAGTCCCACAAGGCTGATGAGATGCTCCGGGATGGCACGAAAGAAAGAAATGAACTGTTCTGCGCAGACTCTCTCTGGGTTCTTCGATGCTTGCAAAGGTTTGGCTTGGGTCAAAGGCTGGTTCGCGGTGCAACCTGGTTCCGCACAACCCAGCTTGTGGTCGGCCCATTTTTCCGAAGAGAAGAGATATTCACCGGTGAGGTCGCCACCTACTCATCGCCGTTTGCCATGGCTTGGCTGTCACTTCTGGTGGTATGCTGGTGGCGCACTTGGTGGCGCCAGGGCCGGGGGCCCAGCTCATTCTGGGCATCAGCTACCGAAGGCCGTTGATTGACCCCCGGCCCCCACTGGCATACGTGTGCGGCATCTTTGCAGGATTTATCCGAGGGTGCTGCTGCGTCAGCACCACGGCCAGAAACAGCAAGACATGCTGAGCAACTACTTCAAGAGCTAGGTATCGAGGGGCAACCTGCCAACACTCCATGGACGCAGCAAGATGCAACCGCACGGGCGCACCCCCAATCGGGTTTCCGGCATTCCGAAAGCCTCTCACACGACAGCATGCTCAAAGCCGAGATGCTGATCCGCTTGAATCGAACTGTACTGCAAGGTGGCGAGCCGTCTGCAAGGTCTTCTGAAACTTGCTCTGCAAGCTTAATGTCGGAGGTGCACTGGACGGTCTCCTTCCAGCGCACAAAGATCCAATCACCATCAATCTTCATGAACCATAAGCCATAGCATGCGCCCGCGTTTGCTGTCCTGGCTGCCATCGGTTGTGCGCCCTGGGGGAGCTGCCACTTCAGAGGCGCTCGCAGAAAAAAATAGACACGGACAACACAGGCCACTCCCACCTCGTCAGACATCCTCCTCGAGATCCGTCTAGAGGTGCTAGGATCTTGGTACCTGGTCTTTCGACTCCAAGCAGCATCCGGAGCATCTTCAGAAACCTCACTCAGAAGCAGCTGCTTCTTCGGTGTTCTTGACAGTGTTTGCAGTACTTGCTGGCCTGCAGCACTTCATGCAAGTCTCTCCAAGACCTGTCACAAGCAAGTAGTGATGTTGTTGCAAAAGTCACCAAGTCAAGTCTGATTTCCACGAGGCTTGGTGGTATACGCAAGTCCAGCTCACGTGCGGGACATGCACCTCGTCTTTTTGTCCCACTCTTCGACACCAGAAGCCTCGCTTGGACACGACGTGATCAAGGCAAAAACCCTCTGGGGTCGAACCTGCCTGTATGGTCAATTGGTCGATCGAGGCCTCTTCGGAAACTCCACTCGGCTGGACCCCTGGCAGACATTGATTGAGCTGTGACAAGGACGACTAGGATTACTACACAGCATCAACATACCAAGACACATGACCTTGCTTGCAAGCCCTGGATTCAATGAAGTACCTTCCCTTGTTGGCCACATATGGCCACATCCTAGCGACGGCAGCCCACTTTGTGATGGTCTCAGGGCCTGAAAATGCCCTGGTTGAGAGCTAGAAAGAAAAGTACTGGATGACGGTGAAATTGGAAACCTGCGTCCCCGGTTGAGAGCTGGCGATGAGTTGGAACTCAACTAAGGGCTGTACGACCTATGCAGCCAAAGGATTGTGCACATAAACGCGCAGAGGCACCTAGTTCCCGAGGCCCTCGGGCCTCCCACTGGGAAGCCCTGTACTTGGGCCACTGATGGAACCAGGTAGCTAGTCCATTTTCGGTGGCTTCGCACCTTTTTCCCCACCCTCGGTGTGGGGTTGTTAGATTCTAAGCTCAACTGTCCTCCGCCCGGATTTCTTCTCCTCGCCCGGTCTACTCCTCGCTCATCCCTAAATTGCCCAACCCCACAATGTCCCTGGAATGCCCAACTCTACAGTGTCCTGGAGTGCCCAAGTGTCCCCGAGTGCCCAGCCCCAGAGTCTCCAGAGTGCCCAACCCCCACAGTCTCCCTGCAGTGCCCAGTTTTCCTGGAGTCAGAGTTGCCGGGGATGTTCGAAGTAAAATAATTGCTTTGGTTGCGTTCCTTGTCATGTCAGTGACTGTCTCATAGTCGCTGAACGAGACCAACATCTTTGTATGATCGTTGTTGTTGCAAACACGTTTTTCTGCTACGACCGTCGTAGGAAATCATGTTCCTGTGCAACAACATGGAGGCATCTTGTGGGAAGAAATGTGGCAAGCAGGGTCTAATGATGCCAGACGACGGTTCTTCAGGCCCTCGAACATGTCTGCCAGGAACTGCTCGTACTAAGCCGGGGCTGCAAAGGTTCCAATGAAACAAAGAAGTTGCTGCAGATACCGTTACCTGCGTTCGTTGGTCTGGGCTCAGGGCTCGTTCAGGCAGTGGAACCACCAAGTTAGGATTGCGGTACATGGCCTCGAAACACATTCGAGTTGCACAGGTGTGCCAAGTGTAGATGACGAAGCCGAGATGCAGACGGCAAGAAGGCAAACCTCTTGAAAATCCTGGAAGTGAAGTGCCTGCTGCTTTTCAGCAAGCCTCGGCATCGATGGAAGTCTGCAACAAGAGAAAGAAATTGGCGCAAACATTGAGCAGAAACTACTGGGACAGGCACGAGACATGCAGCTCCGACAAGGATGGCGACATGCCCTGCCCATGTACTCATGCCACAATGCGTGCATCACTCATGCGGCAGCCTGCCTTGATGACCGGAGGCATGGAAGCATACCGCTTCTGCTTCTGACTCCGCTGCTTTCGTCGAACCTCCCATGGCCCTTCCCCCTGCCCTTCTCGCACAGCTCCCATTCCCATGTCTTGCAAAATGCGCCAGCCTCTGCCTGCCCTCGAAAACAGAAGCTGGAATGGACTGAATGAAAGTGCCGACGGTCGATCAGCTTGCGGTACACACTCCTAGTTCGTGCGAGACCAGGAAGCACGATAAGGCACGATTAAGCACGTACAGTTGCCAAATGCCCACAAAAGGCCTCGCAGTGTCGGCCGAGAGCGACGCGCCTGGCAGGGAACAGAATCTTACAGGCCCGACACGCTCACAGAGTTTCACCCAGCTCTGTTTTGGATTGGCTCAGGCAGGATGGCGCCTAGCAATGCAGCATCAGCAAAGAGGCCAATCAGCGAATCCTTGCTGCACCCGCCCGGCAGAGAAGCTCCCAAACAACGATGCTTGGCTTCCCTTTGGGTTACGTTACTCCCTTTTCACGTTTGAATAGAACGTGGTTTGAGCAGAATTGGGTTTCGGGCCTCAAGCTCGGCCCTGGTCTTTACAACGAGCAGCTCGAATTCGGTCACAACTGTCGATATGTTGTGAGTGATTCTTTGTAATTCTGTTCTCATCTGGTCTGCGACAATCTTCACTTGTGGAAGAATCGGTTTTAGGGTCAGCTGTCACCCGTTAACGGGCCCATCGACTAAGCTTGAAATCGATTCAAAGTGCGGATGTTTCCGTGCAGCCATGATCCGGCCTTGCAAGCACCTCAAGTACAAAAAGCAGGAAAATGGCGCGGCTTCGTCGAAACAGCATTCACAACAGAGACGCTCCTGAAACCTGCTACGTGCATCCATGAGGACTTGGAACAACAAATATCTTGCCGCAGCGCAGAACAGCAATGTATGAAGGGGCATCTTGAAGCGAAATGTTGTCACAACTCCCCGATGCTCCCACTCCGCTCCTCGCCCATCTGCAGCCGCACCTGCACCAAATCACATGCTCGCACACCTCTGCATCGTTTTCACGCCTACGATGCTTCGGAGCAGAGTAACGGCAAGGGGCACCTCACACCGAGCGGTCACCCCGTGTTCAGCATACCTGCGGCCAAGACGTCTGAAGCATCACTACGACCTGCCATCATCCTCAACTCAGGATCCCGCAAGGAGAAGACTTTGTTCAAGAAAGGCTCCCATTCTTCCTGTAGCTGTAGAACCTCACCATGCAACGGCATGCGACGACAAATGATCTGTCCAGTCAAGCGGCTGCCTCCTGCATGTGGGACGAGCTAGTAAACTGATCTCGTTCATCGCACCTTTTGACAGGAGAATGGTTTGGCAGAGGTGAAACTGCCTGCTCGACCAACTTGTCTTTCCTGGGGCATGGGGGAGACTCCTCGGGCACTCCTGCCTGGCCCTGTGCCAAAGGGCCAACGGCCAACGCTGACAGATTCAGTTGGGCACAGAACCAAAATCAATACCTTCTCACACCGACCAGGTGAAACATATACATATATATATATATATTTACATATATATTTTTCTTGTTTATTTATTTATATTTATACTTATACTTATATTCATCTTTATCTATTTGGGACCCGGTGCCATGGTAGGGCTTAGAGGTTCGGAGCCCCCCAAACCAGCGAGCACGAAAACGCTGCACTGTACTAATGCTTTAAGCCCACAAGTGTAAAAAAAAAATGCACTGTTCCAAAAAACCCTGTCTTTTCAAGCTAAAGCAAGCAAAAATGCTGTACTTTCCCAAAAAACCCAAAACAACCAAAGTTTAGAGACCTTGGACGCCAAATGGCCTGGGTGTCTACCAACTTTGGTTTTTTGGCTTGGACAGTACAGCATTTTGGCACTATTTGCTTTAGAAACATTGGCTTTTTGGACAGTACATCACGTTGGAGGCCTGAGACCCAAAAAAACCCAAAGTTTAGAGACCTTGGACGCCAAATGACTTGGAGGTCTGCAAAATGTGTTGTTGGGTTTTTTGGGGACAGTATCCGAGAGATTTTGATAGGATTCCATACATTCAATAGAGGCTCTTATTTTCATAGGGTTCCAATAAAGTTTCATAGGGTTCCTAATGATTTTTAATGAGGCTCCTACTAATGTAATCAGATGCCTATCGTTCACATTATTATTTGTAGAAGTCCTATTGGTTTCATATTAATGGGATTCGTAGTAATGTTAATCGGGTTCTCATTCCTATTTAAAGGGATTCCAATTGGCTTAGGCTCATATTGGTATAGCGGTGCTCCTATTAATCTTGCTGAAGGAGTTTTATTTTGTACATAGGAGTCTCATTTTCATAGGATTCCTATGAATTATCACCGGGGTCTTTTTAATTTGTTAAGGGTTCCTATTCATTGTCATGGCCTTCCTAATAGCTTTTTTCCGGCTCCGATAAATTTCGATAAGATTCCCATGCTTCCGACTATTTTCATAGGATTCCAATAAAGTTTGATCGGATTCCTAATTATTTTGATAAGGCTCCTACTCATGCAATAAGATCTCTATCAATTTTAAGAGGGCTCTTATTCATGTTACTCGGCTTCGAAATCATTTTCACAGGGGTCTCATTCATTTGAGAGATATTCCTATTGGTTTAGGCTCATACTCATTTTGGTAGGGTTCCTATTTTTTTAGGGTTCACTTTTTTTTATAGGAGTCCTTTTGGTTCCTATTATTTTTGTAGGATTCCTCTTCAGTTTAATAGGATTCCTGATTGGTGGATTCGCATCAACTTGAATAGGATTCCTATTTATGTTAATAGGCTTCCTATTGACTTTATACGGTTCCGATGAATTTTAACCAGGTTCCTGAGTATTTAAATGGAGGATTCCTATCTATTTCTGTGTAAAGGATTCCAATACATTTTCATAGTGTGCCTATGTATTTTAAAAAGGCTCCTACAAATCTAAGAAGGTTCCTATCATTTTTAAATAGGATTCTGTCATGTGAATAGGGTTCCTATTGAATTTAATCGTATTACGGGTTCTCATTCATTTTAGCGGATGTCCTCTTCATTTTAATAAGATTCCGATGAAAACCAGCCGAACCCTATGAACCCTATTAAATTTGATAGGAACTATTCAAATGCATAGGACTCCTATTTAAAGTCATAGCATGCAATCCACAATCTCGAGCAAATTGTTCAGGTCGCTTCTGCTGGAGTCTTTATGGGAGGACTCCCCCCTTTTAAAGACGACTGCGCATTGCGGATCTTTTGGGGGGGGGAGAGTGTGAGTACGAAGAATAAATCGTTGTATTTGTTCTAAAGCGTGGGCGCATGGGGGGGGTAGTATTATTTATTTGTGTATTTGTTTGTTTATATCTCTATCTTTCCATTGCGACACGAAGATTACATGCACGGATTCTGACCGTAGGTGCACGACTGAACTTTCTGCAAGTGGCTGCCCACCACTTCTTTGAAAGACCTGTCCAGCTGACGCATGGAATCGTGCGTGCAACTTTACGATGTCTATGCACGTCTTCATTACCGGAACAGCGCCTTGCCAGAGGGACCGAAAAGGCCCCGTGCTGCCGCGCCATTTCCTCCAGTGCGAACTTGGGTTAACTTGGAGCGCTCGGGACGCTGGACTTATGGACCCCTCCCAGTCCTCTCGGTGCACGCAGACTCGGAGCAAGAATCGGACGAATCCTGACCTTGCTCAGCAGCCAAACAAATTCGTTGCTGCACCGCTGGGCCGCTGGGCGGGAAGAAGCGTCCAGTCGAAAGTCAACTCACAGCACATTTTTCCGCTGCTCGTAGATGGCATCAAGCTGTGAACTCAACTGGCTGTGCGGGATTTCCCGCATGCCCGTGCTTCTCCTCCTTGTAGCAGCAGCAGCACATTAGCAGCCTCCTCGTAGATCTGAAGCTCCTAGCAGCGAGCAGCCATTCAAATTGGTTTGAAACGCTGAAGTTCCGTTTCAATCTTGCAGGTGTCGTCCTTGTACTCGGAGTAGCTCAGCTTTGCACAGCCTTGCACGAGGATCACAAGAGGATCACAAGAATCAAGGACGTGCATAGAGAACCAACATCATACAAGTTGTGGTTGTTGCTTCCAGCGCACTCTTGACATGTCTTACTGGCACATCACAGTTCAGCACAGCCATCTGTCGCGTGCCTTGGCAAGGGCAGTGAAGTCCTTGATGCATACATCCAAAGCATTCGATGCCTCAGCCATGTACCTGAGTCAGAAGGATGCTGTCCGATGTAACTTGCACCACTTGTTCGGTCAACCACCCATTCTGTCGCGATATGCATGCCTAGCCACTTCCTGAAGCTGTCTGGTCCACCATTGATCGCAAATATTGTGCAGTACGCCTCGTCTTGCAAAGAACACTGCTAGCGGCGAGTGGAAAGTGCGCGAAACAGCTCAAACACATGATTTTGGATCGACGCTGAGTCGGTGAGAAAGGTCTTCAGGCGTGGGGGGAGCGTCCGAAAAGAACAAATGGCAAGGGCGCACAGGTCACGCGGGCCGCCGTGGATGACGTACTCTAGATCATCGGGTGCCCCTGCGCCGTGGCGGGCTCGACCCCCGCATCGGACATGCTCGCCTCATAGCTTGCACCAACTGGCCAGCGACGTTGTCGACGAACGCCCGTCGCAGCAGCAACCGTTCCAAAGCGCCCCGGCGACTCAGTAATTCCCCGATTTAAGAAACTGGATTCAACTCGATTCAGGAACCGCGATTCAGGAAGCCGCGGTTCAGGAAACCAAACGATTCAGGAAACCCGCTTCACGTGATTTTAGGAAACGGCCCGATTCAGGAAACTAGGTGAGGGTGGGGGGTGGGGCGGGGGAGATGATAATGTTCATGTCACAGGTGCTGTCAGAAAACTTTGCGACTCCAGAATCTGCAGCTTCCGAATCCGCTCTTTCCTGTTTTCCGGACCCATCCAGTTTCCCAAATCGGGGCTTCGACCGATTGCGCTGCTGACCGGACCAGCATCGCAGGTCTGGCCGAGCCCTTGCTCCCACAGCGCTGTTAAGCGAGGGGAACTGCATCCAACCGTGGCTATGAGCCGGAGGACCCGGACAGTCGGCACACCGTGATGATGCAATGTTCTCTGAATCTCGTCCCGTCTTCTGAATCACGGTTACGTCCAGTTCGGACTCACACGCCATTCATGCTGGTCCTATTGGAGGAGTTCCGGGCTACTGCGGGTTGCCAAACAATGCCATGGGGCCTTTATTGTCGCCAACAGACACAAGAGTCTTGTGTTGTCACAAGACACGCATTCGCCTTGTCAGTGGCCTGCAGGTTTTGTCACGGCCCGTGCATCTCGCCCGAGCCCGCGCATGGGTTGGACGCCAAAAAATGCCAAAAAAAAACAATTAACTGCGGTCATGGGCACTGCGTCGGCTGGCCGGGCGTCCGCCCAATTAACACACGCCTGCCTGCACTGCTGCGGGGCCCAAGGCGCCGCTTCTCGCAGTTGCTAAGAATGGGGGCACCACGTTGAGGAAGTGTTGTGGCAGAACGCTGGCAGTGCGTCGAAGGGTCAGCGAAGCAAAGGCCGCTGAAGCTCTCGAGCCGACGTTCCCCCGCTCCACCGCTCCACCACCGGAAGCCGTCTCCTTGGGCTCCAGTCTCCGTCTCCGGTCACCCCACAACTGCCCAGGCTCATGCTGCCGGTCGAAAGGGGTACGCGCGAAGCTGCCTGTGCAACACCCCGGGCACGTCTGCCAGAGACACGTACGGTGAAGCCGCCAAGAACACGCACTTGCTCATCAATGAGCAGCGGGGCAGAATCAAATTTCACTTGTAAGACGGGCTTGGACTGGGCAATGCTGTAGGTGACCCACGGATTGTTATAACATGCATGTACACGTGAACACAATGTGTGCACAAGCGCGTGCAAACTCCACGAATCGTGCCTGATAGTCCAGCTGTGAGACATGCTGCAGCACATCCTTTGCCGATCAGAAAAGTTGTTGGTTTTCGCTCTTTTGTTGTGAAGCACCTCGAGGTCTGGGAGGTTCGGCGGATCCTCTGAGTAGACCTCCATCAAGGCATCCTGTGATCATCCCAAGAGGTCCCCCAACCGCTCCCGGCCCCACAATTCAGCAACTTAGCGATGTCCAGCATCCTTGATCTTGAAGAGCGGTGAGATGGTGCCCACGGTGCCTGCTACCCGTCGAATGTAGTCGCCATCACAATCAACACCTGAGAAGCCACGGCACCAACTGCACCAGCCACAGCTTTCCCCGCATTTTGCTTCCGCTTTGCAATCTAAATTGGAGGAAGCTACGTGTCCAGCACTCGTCTTCCCTCAGCCTGTCCAGGGCTCTCTTGCTGGCCACGATCTGATCCGATGCACCTCAAGATAGCACCAGGCGCTCTTTCGCACTTTGGCCTACGCTCTTCGCAGCCTTTCGCGCCATCACATGTCACATGTCGGCAGGAGCCTGAAGCAGCAGCAGGCCTCTCGGCCAAAGAAAGACCCAGGCTCAGCCCAGCCGTGAGCCTGCAGAGAAGCTTCTACATATGCATCTGACAAGGAGGGGCAGTGTATTCCGCCTCGCGACCCGTGCGGAAGTTGATACCTGACAGCCATGGCATCTGCCAAGTGGACGAGACGAGCAAGGTCAAAACGGATGCTCAAAGCCGACGGAGCTGATCGAAACGGACACCCAGGAGACTGTTCCCGCCTCCGTTGCAGCTCCAGCTGCGAATGTGCTAGACCATGAGGACAATCTGGCTAGCAGAGTTAGGAGAAGAATCGGCCTAGCCTGGCACAAGGACAGCAGTCCAAGCCTCGTGAAAGCCAGGAAAGCCAAAGCGAACGTCCAAATTAGGGAGCTCCTGAAAGAGCCTGCGATCTTGGAATGGAAGCTGCGAGTTGCCCATCTCCTACTACGTTTAAGACAAAAACTATGAAAAACACTCCATGAGGCTGCTGGTCACAACCGGCCTATGAGTTGACGTCTACATGGCAGAGAGCGTGGGCTTCGAAACGATGCCATGGCTTCCACCACAGAAATGCTCTCTGAGCTAGCGTTGGGCCAACACATCCAGAGACAGTTTGCTCTCGATCCAGTGCGCCAATGCAGCGGCGCACACACAGAGCTGAGGCTTGTGCACGCTGATACCGAAATCCATCCAGCTGAGATCCTTGACTCGACGATGCCTCGACGGCTCACGAGGCTCACCCTCTCACCTTTCACCCTTCACAAGAGCAAACAATCTACGCACACAGGCGTAAGTGTCACTGCACCCCTGCAAGCCCGCCCCCTCATTCGCGCCCTGCCCCCCCTAGCCTCGGCGAGGACATGTCAGGCCTTGTTGACGACATGGGCGCACCGGCCAGCTCACACGCATCCAAACAGATCTCTACGAGTGCATACAAGGCGCAGGAATGACACCGGGGAAGGCTCTGGCTCCAAGTCCTGAGACTAGACTTGAACAGAACTGAACAGAATTGAACAGAATTGAGAGTCGTACCTGAGACTCTGCTTCTGGTTCGGCACGGAGCACCTGAAACGCTGTATCTGTAGAGACTGTGAACTCCAAATAACTCCAACGTCCACCAAACAGAGCGAGAGCCTCTCGGAAGATCTCTTTCGCAGCTTCCACAGGCAGGAAGAGGCAAGGACAGTACCTCTGACTGCATACGACACTTGCGAGTTCAATGTCACTTCGTTCTGGCTTAGCTACTCTGACGAGCTGAAAACATACGTGATCATACGTGCATGTGCCGAGGCAAATACATATCAGTTGCAAGAAAGTATGATTCCGCATGAGCTGCACGGCAAGACAAGGCGGCACGATGAGCTCGCTGAGGCCGCCGCATGCCTGCCTCACGGTAAAGCTTTGCGATGCCATGCCAGCAAACCTGACGCAGGTACTGTGTATTCAACCATGTCCAAATCTGCGAGTCTGTTACTTAAAATCATGATCCAAGCTGTCATTGCTCAAAACATGCGGAACGTGAACACATGTGCTTGGCAGGCTCACGTGGCTCGGTTTCTGGTAGCAAGGCAAAAGTTCGGAATGGAGGGCTGACACGAGCAGCGTTCACACAGGCAAGTCGACTGTTTTGCTCTCGCGAACTTCGCCAGGCTCTCTTCATCTCCCCTCGGCTCCTAGGCATACTACCACACCAGATGCCGTGATCCACCTCCATCAGAGGAAAAAATGCATGCGCTTTATATGTGTTAAGGGTGCATCCGAGCTCAACAACAGCTCTGGAGCACAAAGAGGATCATCGGCCAAGATGTGTGAAACACCTACAGATCCTCGTCAGTGCTGCCCGGCCAAGCGACTCCTCGCCAAGCCACTCCGCGTGCTGCTTGCTTAGACAGCAGTAGCGCCATTTTTCTGAATCAGCAATGACTCTGAAAGTTTCGCAAACGGTCCAAATCGTTTCTGGACCCCTCCCTTCCTCACATCCCCACATGATCTTCTGGCATGTTTCTGAAGCTTTCTCCTTGTGCTCCGCATTGCTCCGCCAAACCCTTCATTTTTGCCCTTCTTGTGAACAGGCCTTGCGCAAACGAGGGCTCCTTTGACTGTACCCCCTTGTGTTTAACATGTTAACATGTTTCAACATCTTGCGTTGACAAAGTCGGAAAGATCATATTCACAAACGCTCCTTCGCTGGTGTGGGTGCAGGTAGACGCAGACATAGCTGAGAAGGACGTCCGCAGCCTCAGTTGCTGGGTCTGTCAAGGGGACATTATGGACACCCAAAGGATGTAATCTCCCAAAGAGTATCCGCACCTTGCTGCCATGCAGCCCTTCGTAGAAGACACTGCGCAACCCGTGGTCCTCTGGATCCACGATCACCTCAAGTTGTTACGCAAGTTGTGCAAGCCCGGCCTAGGCCGCGCAAGACGGGTGCAAGATCGGGAATTTTGGTGGGCTTCGGCGTGAGGTTTTCAGGGCATCTGCGTGTGCAGGGAGCCTTCTGTTTTGCTGCAGGTGCCAGTGGACTGTATGCTGACGCCGTTGATGCGGAACGTGTTCCCTGGTTTTGTCTGTGGGTGCAGAGGCGACCTGCACTGACTCGTGGGCCTGTTGTCCATGCAAAAACCATTCGTCTGCGAAGCCACACATACGGTGCTGCGGACAGCGTCTGAAGCTCCCATCAGGTTCGGGCTTACCAAGCCCCTGAACCCACTGTGCGCACCTTGTGGATAACCTTGTTAAGGCCTTCCTTCCTTGATCTGTGAACATGATGAATGGCAACAATCTCTCTAACCCATTGAGATCCACACAGCGAATCCAGACCAGGTGACTCTGAAGAGACAAACCAAGAAACCATGCAATGCCTGCAAAGCCGTCAGACACTACTGAGGCCACACAACCCCCATCCCCTGAAACACTTCAAGAGCTCACGTCGGAACATGCACAGCATCTAGTACGACACTCTGTGCCAATTGAGGTCGGAACAAGGCCTTGCCAGAAGCCATAGCACACCTTCAGCAGATTTCCGCAGCATCCCGCTTCTTTTTCTCATCTTCTGAAGATGCGAAAGCACTGCCCGTCACTATTCCTCACTACAATCCTCGATACTCAGTCAAGTCGCTCCAAGCCCAGCCCCAATCTTCAGACCAAGCGCAACCTGAGAGTCTTCGAGCTGAGCTGTGAGAAACGAAGGGGCGCGCTCCTTCTGCCAGATTCCCCAAATATTCTCAAGCTGAATTTGGATGCCGCGGAACAAGGTCCCAGCGCTGCACACCGTAGTAGAGAAGAAGGACCACGAAGTAACCCGATTTCAGAGCTCTGATCAGCTCAGTATCACCAATCTCAGCAGCAGAGCTTGAGGAGGGCTAAAACGCAGTTGGATGTTGCCGCACAGAGAGAATAAACTGAATTGATCTCAATTGAACAGAAAGAATGTTTTCGATGTTGCAGCATTGCAGGTTCTAGGGCCTCTGTAGGCCTCTAGGGAATGCGCACGTTCGGTACGCCTGGAAGTCCGGCATGACCCGGCTGGGAATTGCGAGACAGCTGCCGATGAAAGCACCACCAGCAACACCTCAGTTGAACAGTTCCCGAAATTTCCCGAATTGCCGAATCCGCCGAATCCACTGCCGAATACTGCCGAGTCAAGCCGACAAACATAGAGCTCAAAGCACGTCGGGATACCTGCAAGCCCGCATGTACAGCCAGACCCAACTGCGCCCACAGCTTTTAGAAGCAGCCATCGGAGCCTCCAAACAAGCACAGCGAAGCGACTGGAAGCTAGCGCATGAGCCAGGCCTCCAGTGCGCTCGCCGCGTGATGCTGTAGCGCTGTCTCAGGGCCTTCTGTTTGGGGTTGCTGCCTTGGGTGACCCCACTGTTGCCAATGTTTCATGTGCTGTGCTTCCATATCAACTGTCGAAGCCGAGATCAGCCAAGAGTCTCTCAATCCCAAGCCCAGACAAGACCTGGCCCAATTCTGCCGCAGCCACTGATGATGGACTCCGCTGCGCGCAAGCTGCCAGAACTTCCTGTGGGCAGCGCGCACAACTGCTGGGTTGATGGGCAGTAGTAGGATGCAGTAAGTTAAAAAGGCAATAACAAATACAGTTAAGCCTGGCGCAGCGACTCTTCAGGGACCGGCAGCAACGCAGCGAGGAGCCCCATCACCGAGCGGAGCGGTGCCTGCGCCGGCGCCTTGCTCTGGGCTTCGTTCGCTTCTTCTCTTGACAAATCTTGACAAGCATCTGAAAGCATATGCGCACACAGAATCACACAGAGCACCAGCACTGTTTACAACGCTTTACAACGCCGGTTACGGGCCTGATCTCAGCTGAACATGGCTGCTGGCAGCCGGGCCACCCCACGCAAGCCGTCCAGGCGCCGCAATCCTCGCACCAGCTCCTGCAGCATGCTTGATACGGAGAATTACAAAGAACTTGTCAGGCACATCTTCTTCCGGCCTCCGAAGTCATTGACGACAGCCACTTCTGATCCAGCGGTGCTGATAGGCGGGAAAAATGTGCGCGACAAAGTGGGCATTTGCCTCCAGACATGCTCAGATTCCCATGTTGATCTGTCTTCCTGACACATGCCCCCTGCAGTTTCTCTGGCTTCAGAACCTCCACCCTGGACACCGATCCTGATTGTCTCTTTGCAAAACAGTGGCGCGGTCGAAGCTTAACGGCGCAGGCGGTGTGAATGAAGTGGGGACATGCCTTGACAGGCAAGCCATGGAGTCCATGGAGTCCAGGATTTAGGGATTGCCCATCATCACGCCGAACCTGTATGCAGTCTGAGGAGCCCGAATCGTCACGGATTGGATCTGATCAGATACCAAGAACGAGCATGTCCCACTACCTTCAATCCATTGCAGAAGAGTTGTACACAAGGTGCAGAGGTCTCGTAGCTGTGCTCGTCTTTATGCAATTTCGTGCTTCTTCACGGCTAGGCTGCTCAAGGCATCCAGACACACGCTGCAAGTTTCCAAATCATCAGCACCTTCGGGGGCCGACGCACATCGTCTTAATTATGTTTTGCATTGTTTTGCTCTGCCTTGCTTTTCAGATAAGGAGCTCATGGACGTCCATTATACTCATCGCTGCCCCACAGTTCTTTCCATCCGGCCACGGCCACACGCATCTACGCTGCACACATCCATAGTGGGCTTTGCTGTTGGCAATATCAAATCATTCGCATGTCCAAGACTGGCAGGCGTTTCTCAGTGGATGTCAGAACCATCCCTGCGGCAGAGGAAAAATTGAAAGAGTCTGACTTGAGCCATGAATGGCTGTCAAGGAGTGCGCATCCAGACCATAATTTCACAAATTGCCTTCGCGATTGCGACACACTGGCACGGGCAACTGAAACTAACAAGTATCGTGTCTTTCCATGCCCATCATGCCAACCAGCCTGGCAACTGCCGTTGCGGCCACCTGTCATGACACCGAAACGATTGCAGGCGCGACGCCTCATTGTACGAACAAAACTCACCAGCGCCACAGCAACATTCAACAAATATGGAGCCGACATCCAGCAAACATCAAGTCCATGTCCCGCAAGCACGGAAGACACACTCACCAACAGCCTTTTTCACCACCAAGCCAGAAGCGAACAGCCACGTGACCGGAAAAAATCGCGCCCCAAAAGAGATAGTAAATTCAAAAATTAGAAACAGGCAAATTTAATAAACGCAACAGCCGCATTTAATTTATCAACGACGAGGAAGCTAGAAACCTCCCACCGTGCGACCCGAGTGTCACTGGCCGGCAATCAAGATGGAAAAATCACATTCAGCAAACACCAAAGCCACCATCAACACAAACGACGTACGCAGAAGTGATCAGCCGCATGACTAAAACATCACGCCCAAAAGCATAACACCATATACACCCCAGCTTCGGAAACCAAGTCTTGGATGCTTGAGGAGAAACGAACCTAGCTCTTATTGTTGAAGGCAGCAACACTGACACAACTGGCAAACCGCGAAGACAAGATGCAAACTTCTGTCGTTCAGATGCAACCGTGCCAAACTCCTACTTCTGAGATGTGGTGAAGACGACATGCTGACACGGGATTCGTCTGGAGCAAGCAGCCCGCAGCAAACCCCCCCTCTTGGACCTGCCCGAACCGCTTGGAGGAAGCACAATCCGATGCCGCGAGGTCGATAAATGCCGTCTTGACAAATTGAGACGGCGGGGGTGGCGCCTGTCGAGCCTAGGGCAAGCTTGTCCCGACACAAGCAGGCTTGGACATTGAGGCCGCCGGGAAGCTGTGGAGAGCCGTTGCCGCAACATCCGACACCTGCCTTCACCCTTTGCGGTTCCTGCCCCACCCACGTCGATGCCGTCTCTGCGCCATTCGCTATGCGCGCCCTCTGCGCAGCCTGCACTAAGCTACACTGCAGGCCGGTTAAGTGAGTCAAACAACCTGCAAGAAGCAACATCTACCTCGACCCAAGTTTTGCTGTGCGTCCCCCATAAACGAATTCAATGCTAGAAACGTCCACATTCAGCAAAACGACGAAGGCAGCATAACACCAAGCGTGCAGTCGGACTACCACTACCAAACATACCCCGTTGGGGCAAATTCAACACTAAAACAGAGCCACATTCAGCAACCGACGAAGCCAGAAATCAACTGCGCGGTCACTGTTCGACTGCTGACGACACCGCAACGAAATTCAACTTTAGAAAGGGGCGCATTCAGCAACCCAATGCTGATGTCTGCACGTGCGAGCGGGTTTGCCCGAGGCTCCTTTGCTGTTTGTTGAGTGTGGCCTTCATGCTTGTGACTGCGTCTGTCCAATTTGCTGAATGTGGCTCTGCTGCTTTTGACTTTTGGGTGCTGTTTGTTGGCTATTCTATGTTTCTTGAATGTGTCTACTCCCATGGTTATAGAGGCAAATTAGCATCAAGCTGCAAGCTCTGAGCTTCTACATGATAAAGGCTGTCCAAGGCACGGATGGAGAAGAATTGCATGATACTGGCGATGAGAACTATATTCTCCCGGACCTCATGCGAAAAATGTGAGAGCATGTGCTGGCTGCTCCTCCCGCAAAGCTGGGAGCCACACAACGCCACGGACCCGTGAAGATCTCGTAGCTGCATGCTCGGATTCGGTGAGGAGGATCCAGTCCTGCAAAGCGTTGAAGTTCCTGAGACCCCCGCAGCCCCTGATGCTGTCCGTCCTCATCCCGAACGAGCTCTTGCAGGGCAAGCAAAAGCTGACCTGAAACTTGACTCTGTCATTCTCTATCCACGTCTATCTTCCACCCCTCCCAGGGGCTCTCAACTACCCGAGCGGCCAGCCACCACCGACACCTCGCGTAGCCGGGCTCTTGCCCCTCTCTGTGCCCAATGTGCCCAGTGTGCTCACAAGCCAAGGTGCCTTTGACTTTCAGCCTGGCTTGCACCTGCGGCTCACGCGGCTCACGCGGACTCACGCGGCTCCCGCCGCTCATGTGACTCATCGCAGCGCTCTTCATGGCAGAGAAAACGAATTTTGGAATGAAATAGGAAGAAAGAGTTAAAAACCATGAAAGCAAAAGCAAAGGCGAAAGCACTAGGCCATTGGGGTTCCAACTCTTCTCACCAAGATCTCGCTCAGAAAATTCTGCAGTCGCCTTCATGCTGCACAGCATCCAAGCACGATGGCAGCATTGACGCCGAGCACAAGTAGCATGATTTCGCATGTTCCGTTTCGCAAAGTCAGGCTGCAATCGCCTCTGCAAGGAGTCTCGCAGGCGATGCTGCAGCTGAAGAGCCTCGCGAATCTTCCGGAGCCTGAGATCAGAGACGAAGTCCTCCGAAGATCCCGTACTTAAACTGGAAAGACAAGCAGTCTATGATTCTCAAAGCCATCAAAGCCTCGTCCCACCCTCCTCTTCACCTGTGAGCACTGCACTTCTGCACTTGCCACAGTTGACAATGTTGACACAGGGCAAAACAAGGAAGCGTCAGAGGGCAGAGGGCGCACAATTGCTGCAGTAGGCTTGCAAGTGGTGCAGGCTATCTTCCGGCACCTGGCCAGTTTCAAGTTTTCCGATACTCACTTTCTTCAACACTCTTCTGGGCCGAAACGGAAACACGGGTGAGTCAACACAGGCAGCCGGCCATCTCCCGCGGCATGGATGCAACCCGCAGGCCAGACTGGAGGAGCAGCTTGTGTGCTCAACATAACATGTTGTAACATGTTGTAACTTGCCCCAAAACACATGAAGAAGACTGTGTCCCCCTCCCCCCCCCCCCACAAATGCGTTCTCCTGCACAAAGTGCTCCATGTCGACGAACATCTTCCCAAAACTGGAGTCGGGAACGGGCCTCGTCTCACAGGTCTCAACATGTCCCAGCCACATCCGCCATCTTGTGCAGAAGTCTGCCTCAGGCTTGGCCAGCACAGAAACATGGCCGCCACCAGCATCGAGAGCGCAGCCTCCAAGGGTGGGGGAGTGCTTCTTGGCTTCTTACCGCTCATTGCTCCCAACTCCATCCCAGTCCCGAAACCATCGAAAGCCGGCAGGGGGTATGCCATTTTGTCAAGTTATCCCGGACTTCATGCTTGGACTTGGCACTGGCTTCAAGCGCCGAGGGGCTAGCAACGGACGATTCTGGACGATTGGTGGTCACTTTTTGCTGCGTAAAGTATTGAAAGTGTGGGGGCGATACGCCGTAGACTCAACGAGCAGAGTGCAATACCACAGCCAAGAAAATCAAGAACCTTGCTTCTCAAGGCTGTTGTTACTTAGAGACTCAGTGCACATCGAGCAGGAAACCTGCACCCGTGCCGACGGGCGCAGTGTGCTTGAGTTCCTGCCTGTCCTCTGCTGCGAAACGACTGGTGAATGGAAGCATCCATTTTCCAGTGCGGTTCTTAGCCGACATTTGTACCATCACAAAGGGGATTGTTTGGGTGCAGCGCGTTCAATGCTTCGGGCAGAGGGAGGCACCATGGAACTCATGGAACTCGCTGTGAAGGGTGTGACATGGTGCAACCGCTTCCTGGCCCAGGATGAGACAAGGAAGCCACTTCGAGCCAACGAGGGCGAAGATGGGCGAAGATGTAGGAAGATGGGCGAAGGTGTGTCTAGCTCGAACACCAGCAACAGCGCCGCCCCGGCGAGTAAGAGTCCAAAAAGTGGCCATCTATCAATTCGTAGGATAATCGGATAGGGTCCATCCGACAAGGCATAGACCCTCTCCATATCCCCCCACCCCCATCAAATAGACGCCTATCAATGACACCACGTAACTTTCGAACAGACCCGTATCCAGAGACCCCTAATCCCAATCCGATAGACCCCAATAATCAAGGCCCTATCCGCGCTCGTAGGTCTTATCTGCAGGGAGAGATAGACCCTTATGTTTCTCGGATAGGGGTCTATCCCCCGCCCCCTTAAGCCCTAAGCAAATCCCAAATCCTAAGCAAACACTAAACCCTGAACAAACTCTAAACCCTACACAGACCCAGCAAACCCTAAAGCCTAAGCAAACCCTAAACAAACCCTGAACCCTAAACAAATTCAAGTTCTAGCCGAAAGAAACCCTAAACCCTAGTTAAACCCTAAAACTTCAAACAATCCCAGCAAATCCTAAACCCTAAATCGCCACTCTACTTAAACCTTAAACAAACCTCAAACTCTAAACGAACACTACGCCCTAAAGCAAACCTAAACCCGAAGCAAACCCTAAAACTTTGAACAAACCCTATACCCCAAGGAAACCCTAAACCCGAAACAAACCCCAAACAAGCCCCGAAACCCAAGCAAATACTGAACCCCACACAAACCCTAAACCCAAGCATACCCTAAACACTCAACCCTAAACAAACCCTTAACCCTACCAAACCCTGAATCCAAAACAACTCTTACGTTCTAGACAAAACCTAAACCCTAAACAAAACCCAAATCCTGAAGCAACCCGGCCTAATCAAACCATAAATCCCAAACAAACCATCTACCCAACAAACCCTAAATCCTAAACAAACCCTAGACCCTGAACAAACCCTAAACGCAACAAACACTAAACCCGAAACAAAACCAAAACACTAAACAAACCCTAAACCCAAAAGAAACATTAAACCCTAAACGAGAAACTTAAACAAGCCCTACACCCTAAGCAAACCCTAAACCCGAAACCTTAAACGAACAGTAAGCCCTAACAAACCTTATACGCTTAACAGACCCCAAGTCCTAAACAAACCCTGAACCCCACACAAACCTTAATCCTAAAGAAGCCAAACCCTGAATCCTAAACAACCCTAAATCCAAAACAAACCCTAAACCCTAAACAAACCGTGAAACCAACAAACACTACCCCGCAAAACAAAAAAAAAAAACAAACCCTAAACCTGAACAAACCTTAACCCCTAAACAAACACACCCTATACCCGAAGTAAACCCTAAACCCTAAACAAACCCTAAACGCTCAACAAACCCTATACGCTTCGCAAACCCTAGGCCCTAAACAAACCCTAAAGTTTGAGCATACCCTATATACCCGAAGCAAACCCTAAACCCCTATGCAAACCCTCAACAAACCCCAAACCCTAAACAAACCCTAAACCCTAAACAAGTCCAAAACCCTAAAGACACCTTAAACCCTAAACACCCTCGACCCTAAACAAACCCTACACCGGGGTCTATCAATAGGGTCCTATGGCCGGTCAGGATAGGTTTGCGAATAGCGGCCTAACCAAAATGCATAGGGGTCTGTATAAGGGTCACTATACGGGTCTATCGACGCAAATCATGGGGGCTACTTTCCCGACCTATCTTCGGCTATGGCTCGGGGCCCAGGAGAATAACGAAAAGATTAGACGGTGATGTCACACCGCTCAAGCCAGCCTCCTGGGCGGACAAGAAAGCCTCCTCCGTCAGGATGCAAAATGGTACACCTTGTAATGTCAGGATACAAATATATGCAAATAACACGTTGTCGCATTGCAGAAAATCTGCGCACCCACCACAAGCAACCTCATCTGGGAAATCAGCAGCGCTTCATCAAGATGAGGACCAATCTGATCACGTCTCGCTCCTGCAAAGTACGACTCTAGCACTGGCTCTAGTTATGCATGCCTGCGCATCGTATCATCTTACCATGCTCGCAGCTGTGAATTCTGCAGCGTTTGCTTTTCTGGGCGACATTCCGTCCAATTCGTCTCCTGACAGCACAAGTAGTGCTTGTAGAGCCAGCAGTCCAAGATAATTCGAAATCGCTTCTTGCGGGGATGCTTTGAGGTATTCCTTCCGTCTCGTCTTCCTTGCCCGCTGCGCAGTTGCTCAAACTCGGCGGAGTGCTATAGAACACTCAGCACAAAGGTCTATGGGCGTCTGTGGGACCAAATTCGATCCTGACAAGTGTTTCTGAAATGTGCTCAAGCTGTACGACTCCTTGGCTTGGTAGCCATCCGATGTAAAGGCGATGGCCTTCCGAGACCATTGGGGTCCCATCCACGAACCGCAAGCTTTGGAGAAAGAGTCACCGCACCTGCTCGGCCGCCTTCTCAGCCTTCACTGGAGCTGTGATGAGCGTGATGAGCTGTGATGAGCTGTGATGCCGAATTTTCGCAGTCTGGGGTTCTGCCATTTTTTGGCTTCGTGGATGGGGCAGCCGGGGCCCTGGCCTCTACGACGCAAGGGGCCTTGACACGTCAGCTCGATCGCAGTGACGGATGTGCTTTGCTCTCCGAGGTGCAGACCACCGCCATAATGAGTCGCAAGAGGACTTGACCCGAAGCAAGGTCACTGCCGAGATTCCTGACCTCAGTGGTTGTCGCCATGTCACGTTCACCCTGCTTCAGTCCGTCGGACATGAAAACTCTCCTTCCCCTGATGTTTTGGATCATGGAGATGCTAGGGCAAAACACGCAGCAACGTGAATGGGGCATCCGCTTTCGCTCTGGTGCTGCGTGACTCATGCCAACAGATACTTGGCTTACTACTGCCACTGGGTGAACGGCCACGGGGCCTACGACCCTCCCACACTCTGCAAATTCGTTCCGACCCGACGCAACCTTTGCCTGACGAACTCCCTTCATTCTCTGAACCTCACTACTTTCAGTAGTGTCTTCGTAAGCATGCATGCAATCGTGCCAAGACCGCTCAGGAGTGCCACAGAAGAGTAAGCACGACAAGAAATTGTAAGCTTCAAACGCCTGAATCATGTTGCGGGGTCAGAAACCCATAGACCTGCGGAAGACAAAGCACAAAGAAAACAAGATGAAACAAAAAATGAAGCATACTGAAGCACTCTGCCCTTCTGCCCAACTGAGCCGATCCTGCAGATTCACCCAACGGCGCAAGATGTCGTAGACGCCCTCAGAGGTCAAAAAAAAGAATCGGCAAACACGTGCGTGATGGGCTTACTAAGTCACTACCACACCAGAAACTGAGGTAGAGGCCATGTCTTGCAGAACTATGAGCGGCTCCCAACGGAAACAAAGCCTCTCGCAGGACCCACACAGCAACACACTGCAGACTGCCCAACAGCCGTATCTCGTTGAAAGCACCTCGAAAGGTCCACGAAGCGGGGCTGCACCTCCATTCCGACAAGCTGCTCAAACCTCCGTGCAAATGACGGCACACACACACATACACACACACACACACACACACACACACACACACACACACACACACACACACACACACACACACACACATTCATTCGAGGGAGGCATAGAGTGGCTGGGGCCGTAAGCACTGGGTGAGCACCGGGTAGCATTCACAAGTCGCGAGAAGAGTGTTCATGATACCAAAGGGGCTGTGAATGGCTGTGGATTCGCTGTGGATCCTGGCATCGCCATGATGCTCGCCATGGATTTGGCCTCACTTGGTACTGATGAATACAATGAATACTGGCCTTCAAGAAAATGGGTGCACACAGCATCACACAGCCTCTGCTTTGCTCCCAGTTTCTGCTTGAACATCCTCTGGCCTGACTGCGGTGACTTGCACACGTCCCACAGGCTGCATCGCGGGACTTCACTGGGCAACAGCCACAGATTTTTTTTGCTGACAAAGGCGAGGGCTTGAATAGGCCTTGCCAGCAAAGTAAATGATATTTGAGACGTTTCCGCTGATTAGCAGAACAAAGGCTCCAACCTGCATCCGTTGAAGGAGCCTGCAACATCTACTTGATTCAGAAAGAACTTCGACAACGTTACTCCTGTGTGTGTGTACAACAGTTCGCATGCTGTCCGGAGTCAGTCGGGCTGTCAGGCCCCAAGCAACATCTGAGTTACTGTGCCCAGTCTGCATGTGGCTTAGGCAGGCCTCACCTCGAGTATTATATGTACATATATATATATGTGTATATATGCATATGCTCACATCATGCCAAATAAGTCATACCTCCGTTTCGTGACTATGTACAGTCGGTTCACCAGCTAGCCAGTTGAACCAGTTGTTCGCAGAAGCAGTGCAGGTTCAGCTTTGTAGCTGATGAGCTCTTTAGGCTGCAATAATCTTACTACCTAGCTTAGAGGTACTTTGTTTTTCCATCAATGTACAGAAACTTGTTTCACCTGACCAAATATCAGTTCTGGCAGTCATGCAGGAATGATGAACGCAAAGGAGCCATACACCACTTCTCTCGTGGAACTGCATGCACCTGGTTCATGCGAGTCCTGGACAGGTCCTGTTGACCAGGCCGCTCACACCCCGCAAAAGACAGAACAGTCCCACATACCACATCCCTGTACGTCCTGCATCTGAAGATTGCCAGCTGCCTGGGACAGGGCAGAACAATGGTTGAGTTGGTACATGCCGCTGCGATCTGCTTGTCACCCCCAAACCTGCCTCTCTGAGAAGAGTCGCACAGAGGGACGCCCTGGGTCGACCGGAGAAAGCTGGAGAAACAGATGAAAGCGTAATGATCGTTGGGGTCCGGACTTCAAAGCAAACTGCTGCCCGGAAATGACATCCGAGGGGCTTAACAGAAACCTGCCAGCAATGACCAGGCTTCTTGAGCACTTCTCACAACCAATGAAGTGAGGTGGCACCTGGAGACGAGAAGGGGCGACAGGGAGACAATTGCATTCTGGGCCGCAGCCTGTGTTGATGCTACAGGCTGGCAACTGCACGCAGAGATTAAACCTCGACACAGCTGTGCATGAATCACCAAATGTGCATGTCTCCGCAGGGGATATGCTTAGGTCGAGCCAAGTCGAA